GCAAGTTAATATATAAAATTTTGTGTAATTACATTTTAATTCAAATGTATCAAGTTGGTGTATCATGCTTAATGAGATGACCAATATTATTAAATCATTATGCTCATATAAAGTTCATTCCAACTTTGGTACTGACTTCACAACATATCCCTATTACTTTAGTATTTAATTCAAGTTCTATTAAACTGCTAATTTAGATAACCTAAAAAGATAGACTATAACTATATCTTTGGTTTATATGTTTTCTAACATGTATCTTTTTTCTCTAAAATTTGAAAATTTTAACACCTAGTTGGTTTATCTGGTTCTTTCTTAAAGACCAGTACATTTGTTTGATTTTACAAGTTTTAACTCTGTTTTATAAGTTTAATTTTTATAATAACACTATTAAAAGTTCAGATTACTTCTCTATTTGGGTCTTTCAAATGGGTTTCTATCTTTTTACCTGGTTCCTGTAATTTATATAATCTAAGAACTTATTATAGGTTCATGCTACCCAGTATCAGTTTGTATTCCTTTGTACAATATTGTACAAATATCTAAATCTTCTAGTCATGCTAATATAACACAGATTACAGGTATCTAATCTTAACCAATCACAGAAGACAATTAACTAAAACACAAAAAGAATTGCAAATTTTTATCATTACTGGGATTTGAACTCTAGACCTGCCATTTGAAGGTTGACAACCTGACTACTTTACTAGGTTATCACATCTTCTTATTTATAATTATATATTTTGTTCATTTTTATATTATTGTATTTTTACAATTAACAGTTTATATTCAATTTTTTTATAAATATTATTTTAAAGATTTTTATTCTTCATTTTTTTTATCAGTATTTTTTATTTTTTTTATGTAGTACTACTAGGTTGATGAAATACAAGTATTAAGTTAATTATTATTAAAGTAACATGCAAGCAATATTTTTATATTATATTTTTCAAAATTAGAACTTAAATAAAATGTTTTGATCAGCTTCTTTAATTGAATAACAGAATATTTGCTTCTAAGTAAATTTCTCTAAGATATTGATTATAAATATGATAAGTCAATTAATAATTGATTGAAATAGAGCAATAACACAAAATAAACAAACTTTGTCAATCTTTAATAAGGATTAGACCACTCAACTTAATAACATTACAAACTAATTTTTTATAGTTAAAAGGTTCTAATCTCTAATATTCAATATTATCCATTCTTAAAATTATTAATTTTCATTTTAAAAACATTTTAGAGTAGTAAAAATACTTTAGACATTCGAAAATATATTTGAATAATTTTTGACAATCTAAATTATTTACGATTTAGATCATTTAAATTTACGCCAAGAGCAAAATAATTTAGACACCTATGTATAATTATTATACATATATATCAATATCAAAGTACTAACAAATCAATATAAAATTTGGTATTAACTATGTAACCATATATATCCTTATCATATCCAGATATACTAAGATTTTATTTGTGGAATGTATCTTACTATAGTCTATGCTTTATGATGTTTATTTTTTGTCATATTCTAAATTTAACGTTTTTTGAGATTTTTGGAATAGATTATCTGAGATAATTGTTTAAACTTACCTATGAATCATATGAAACATCTATACATAGGTGCCAAAACTCCTTTTCTCAATTTTTCATAGTTTATAGTTGCTAAAATTAATATTATTGCCAAACTTATAAAGGTAATATTTGTGAATTCTATTAACAATTTTATCGTTATGAATAAATTTTACTCACAAACTGGTACATAGTTTAGCACGTAAATGAAAGAACAGAGAAGTAATGTTTAGAATTGGATATATCTGATTTTCACGCCTGCATATCGATATAAAATAAACTAAATATATAAATTTTCACTAATAAAGAGATTTTAAATACTTAATATTTATCGCTATCATTATCGTTATATAGAAAATCGGTTCGTGTCGTGTTACTATAATATGCATTACCATGTATACAAATAATTATTATTTCAAAAGAGATTACGGAAGTAAATCGAGTTATTCTTATTAACGTTAACAGATTGGGTAAAATATATTTTATTTAAGTCTCAGGTAAAATTTCCGTACTATCAACAACTAGCATTATAATCAGTATTGGTACACCGGAGCAGGGATGGGATTTGATTACGTATCAAAAATTTCAAAATAACTATTAAATAATTATTATAACTATTGATTTTATATAAGTTTTTGAAAATTTTGAAAGTCGATTCCATCCCTACACCGGAGCACTACGCAATGAACAATAGAATTTATATAAATAGATTTATTAATTGTATTGTATTTACTAGCATCGATTGAAATTCATATGACTCCAATAACATGGAATGTTAATGATAAATCCGTTCTTTTAAATGTGGATTCAAACGGACTTGGTGTAAATTATAAGGGTGAGAACATACATTATTTACTATATGCATTTTTAATTCATAATTATCTCTTATCAATTAATTTTACTACTACCTTTATATTTTTTTTTTCTTAATTAAAAAAGGTTATGGCAAAATCAATGAAGATGCTGTAATTCGTACGAATAACCCAATTCCAACTCAAAGTAAATTGTTTTATTTTGAAGTTGATATTATAAATGATGATGATGATGATGATGATGATGATGAAAATGATAATGAAGATGATGAAGAAGATGGGTAAGATGCAAAGCGTCTGGCAATAGTAAATAAGATTCATTTCCTTATAATTTCATTAAATCTTTCATGAAGAATTATTGCAATCGGATTTTGCACAAAATCATCTGAACTAAATAAATTACTCGGTAATTACAGACTTTAATTTTTATTATCCATAAAATTATATTATTTAACAATATACTATTAATAAATTTAGGGTGTAGTAAGAACTCGTGGGGATATCATAGCGATGATGGAAATTTTTCCGTTTGTTCAGAAATCGAAGAACCATATGGGCCTTCTTTTAAAACCGGCGATACTATCGGATGCTGTTTAAATTTTAGAAATAACACTGTATTATATACTAAAAATGGTGTAAATCTAGGTAATCATTATTATTTAATGTCTAAATTTATTTGAGTGATAAAAGTTAATGTTTTACAACATTTTTTAAGGAATTGCATTTCGAGACTTAAAAAAAGATCTTTATTATCCTTGCATTGGGATAAGGTCAAAACGCGGACCTATATCTATAGAGGCGAATTTTGGAAATAAAAAGTTTA